AATCGCCCTGATGACGGAGGCAGTATGACCTCTGAAACGTTGGTAAATATCGACGAGACTACACAGCGCAACAACCCAGAAGTCAGAAATCTTCATACTCACCTCAAATCATATAAAGAATGAATAGCTTCACACATGACTTCAAGAGAGGATAAAGCGAAAGTAACACATCTTGTGGAACCTGAGGATACTTTGTTGTAAATCTGTACCTACAGCCAGCCTTACCCTGCTTCGTCAATGCTGTAAGTATAGTCGACTACTTCCATGCGTTTTACTGTCATGAGGAAGGAAGACGCGCCAACCTCAGCTTCGTCCCTCACCAACATGCCAACCATCCCGTCCCAAGTTCCATTCTTCTCCGAACCAGTTCCGCCATCTATCGACTTGCAGAAGTTACTCCTGTAGCAAGTATTTATTACAAGCGAGTTACGAACTAATGCGCATCTCTAGAACAGGGTCTCTCCCGTACCATTATTCAGCGTTATGCATATCCATTAATTAAACACTTAATTACGAAATGCAAAACGTACAGACACACTTTTCCCTGCGCCTAAGCGCAGTCATATCAGACCTCAGCACAAAATGGAGGAAAGTGATTTGACTTATCGGAAATATTAACCGTTTACGCGCTGGTACTACAAATAACAGAAGGAGTGACACGGACACCGTAGGCTGATCACGACATATTAAGACAATCAGTGTTATGGAAACATGGTAACTGTAAATATTAATGAAGTATTGTAAGTCCTTTAGAAGAAGTACACAGCGTGAATGTAATTTATGTCCATCAAAAAGCTTCAGTTCCAAAAAATACTAAACTCGTACTAAACGGAATTCAGTTAATTGAATTCTAACACATACATAAATGAAATTTATATCGAATCTAAATTCATCGATCTGTTTTGTTACATCACTTCTACACATGGCATTGAATGAAATACAAGATAAAATAGTTGCCGGATGTTCACTGTGCCTTAATTGCTAACAAAAATCATTGAGGCGCACAGAACAGCAAGCACCACATTCGAATATGTACGTACGTTGCCTCATTACACATTCACACTTTCGTTCTGCATAAATAATTGAGATACAGAGACTCCCAAGGACCACAGTTATCAATATTACTCACTTGAAGTTCATCTCGGTTTCCAGTTCGCTCCAGATATGCCCGATGTAGCCACCCAAAACCACTTCGTTGTCCATTCGATCCAGAGACACGTACGTTTCCTGAGAGAAACACACGAGATTGAAGTAGATGCCAAGCGGTCCAGTACCAATTTCCCTAAACCTACAGAGGAATGTAAACATGACGACAAAGTCGTTCAGCATTTCTTTAACCACACAATTTTGCGGTACGGTTGTAAAATATGTGACACGTTTCAGGTTTACACGGCGGTGAGTATGAAGATGGCCGTCTTCTGGGTTGTTGCGCTGTGTAGTCTGGTAGAAATTTACCCACGTTTCATAGGTCCTTGTTGCCTCAATCATCAGGACGATCATCACCTTGATGATGGAGGCAGCAAGGACCTCGGAAACGTTGGTAAAGGCAACGTTAGTCCACTTCTACCAGACTACACAGCGCTATAACAACGTTAGTACACTTCTACCAGACTACACAGTGCTATAACCCAGAAGACAGCCATTTTTAAAAAAGTTCTTACTTTAGGCCCTGCTAACATTAATTAATAGATTTATCTTTTTCATCAATGTGAATAAAACACATTTTTACATTTTGCATAGACTTGTCATTGCTAATTCACTGGCTCGGCGATTATTTCATTGTATATCTTAATATAAGTGGATACTGAGTTTGTACACTAACCACTAAACAATCAGGGTCGCTCTCTTTATTATTACTGAGAAAGAAACCGAATTACTTCCATCCTCTAACTCACATGCTAAGACAAAAATTATAAAATACTAAATCAGCTCTCGTAAAAGTTATTGAAAGATCCAGTTTTGGGTGATGTGGTGGTGATATATACTACCTTCAGTGTTTCTAAAATATTCGTCCTGTAACTCCGAAATAAAAATGTCTCATTCTAAAACATGTTTTTAGGTTTCTATATCATGCAGACCTATGCTATGTTAACCATATATTTACAAACTAGACAATAGGCAAAATACGGAAATAACGAAATATGAGGGGGACGTACATGATCAGACCCTAACTCACATTTGTCTGTAGTGACGTTTCTAAGCAAAAATTCTCTATTCTGATCAGAACTAACTTTTACCTACAACGAAGTTTTGAGACATGCAAATTGGCACGTTCTGCAAAATAGAGACAATGACAGAACTGTTGAAGTAATTTTAGTATTTCCCTACGCATTGAGATATGTCAACATAGATTTTATCTGCACGAATAAATTTCACTGAGTAGTCCCTCTACAAGTTAATGTATTTTTAAATAAATGAAATAAATGTAATGATGACCTCCATTTACAACTCCACAAAATGCACATAAGAAAATACTAACATTAAATACAGTAACACCAGTTACTTGTTACTGCAACAAATCTGTCGGAGAAGAAAAAAAAATGTTGGCTTTTGCATTCCTTTTTTATACGCACATCTTCCAATATGACCGTCCTGATGACATGTCCGTCGAGACTCGTTCTCCGTCGGTACAGCCCGACGCTAGGCCAGTTTCTACGGGAGCTGAGGCTCCAGTCTCCGAAGTACCGAACCTGCAGGGACACTCGTGGACTAATGCGGTAGACGTCGTTCAACCGCGCCACCTCGCCGTCCCACTGCGCCGCCAGGAACTCGCAGTCGAAAGGGACATCGAGGAGAGACAACTCAGAGACGGAGTGCAGGAACACTAGCCATCTGGCGCCAGAAAACTTCCCTGCTGCAGACACCTGGTGAATCGGATGTGATTTCAGTTCATCATTTACTTTGAACTCGGAAGCCGGATGTGGTTATTTTGGAGTGACCGCGGACTCGAAAACCACGAGTTCAGACTAAGAGTTTTCCGCAGTGACTGAACATGCTTTGTAGTTGCGGTATACTGGAGATATCTGCCTGTAATTCCTCTAGCATTTCGTGTGTTTCCCAGGGCCTACTTTTACCCCACATTCAGTACACCCATCATTTGTGACCATGATAACGATTCCGATATACAAGCGAAACTTTCTCTGCTCCCACTTGCTACTGACGTCTATAATAAATACTCTCTTGAATAATATATTCCGTGACTTTGATTTTTCCCTGTGTTCTCCAGGCGGAATAGAAATTTGAGACCAACACTTTGGAGATTCGCTCAGACCTCTTGACCCTGATGATGGAGACTGAGCGATTCTCCAAAAGTTTGGTTTATAACTCAGCAATGACACGGCTGATCACATAAGAGGATTTTATAGCATCTATTCAACGTGAAAGTTTTAATTTTTTTACATAATCTTCAATGTAACTTCATATAAACTTCTTACTAGAAATACTTCATGGTTTTATTTAGGAATGAACAAATTATTTCCTTCGATAAACTACACCTGTATGTTAATATGTTAATTTACCAACGAATCAATTAATTAGTTAGTCGAAAATCGTTAAAAGTAATTATAAACATTGATTTATCTATATATTAAATCTTGTCCGTCTAATCACAATAAATTCTTATTAAATATTAAAATATTACAATAGTTAACATTTAAAATATTTAAAATATTAAATGATGTTCTTTATCGAAATATTCGATTTACATTAGACCATAATTTTTCATGTTTCACTACATGTTTCAGTTCCTTAGGAACATCATTTAATATTTTAAATATTTTAAATGTTAACTATTGTAATATTTTAATATTTAATAAGAATTTATTGTGATTAGACGGACAAGATTTAATATATAGATAAATCAATGTTTATAATTACTTTTAACGATTTTCGACTAACTAATTAATTGATTCGTTGGTAAATTAACTTATTAACATACAGGTGTAGTTTATCGAAGGAAATAATTTGTTCATTCCTAAATAAAACCATGAAGTATTTCTAGTAAGAAGTTTATATGAAGTTACATTGAAGATTATGTAAAAAAATTAAAACTTTCACGTTGAATAGATGCTATAAAATCCTCTCATGTGATCAGCCGTGTCATTGCTGAGTTATAAACCAAACTTTTGGAGAATCGCTCAGTCTCCATCATCAGGGTCAAGAGGTCTGAGCGAATCTCCAAAGTGTTGGTCTCAAATTTCTATTCCGCCTGGAGAACACAGGGAAAAATCAAAGTCACGGAATATATTATTCAAGAGAGTATTTATTATTAAAAAGAGAATATATATAGCACTCGATTTATATGGAATACGTAATATTACTGGCTCAATGTTAAATCGTAGAATTGGAAATTAATGACTGATCGATTAATCGTTCACTATCGGTAGAAATAAGAAACAAAGATCTCACCTCGCTTAATATAAGAAGATCCCTGTTTAGTACGACGTACAAAGGACTTGGACAGGAATCATAACCTTCATATATTAAATGCTGTACGTGAAGAACGCCTATGTTCAGTAGGCCGGCTGCTGCACTCCACACGGCCGCCAGCTCCTTGTCTGCCGAAAGCAATGAAGACGAAATGAATATTTAGGTTGGAAAATCTCATGTCAAGGGACGACGTACAAGACACAGACCTAAATGCTGCGATTTGCAACAATCTTGTTTATTATTTTAGAATGACTAAAAACAAACAAAACATTTTTCTACTTCACGTAACCGATTAGTTCTATTATGCATGGGTCATATTTGGATACGTGATTTTTACCATCTATTTCAAATTAATTTATAAAGAAAAAAAGATTCTTTTGAGAAAGGAAACGTATAAAATTTTTTAATGAGACCGGTTCAATAAAATCGTGTCCAGTTGCTCTAATGTGAAACCTAAAAGAAACCGATTATAAAACATTAATCAAACTATCGAATGAATAAATGATGTATTAAGGCACGTACACTCCGTTTAAACACTCATGTCCAAAACCAGAAATGATGTAACGGTAAGGAATATCCAAATATGAACGCCAATAAGCGACAGATCGCACGTCTAGCATCACCAATGGAGCACAAATAATACCACGATGATATAACTGATGACTGTTTTTCGCTCGTTAACAAAGGCTGCTGGACTGCGTACGCATTACAGCCAAACAAGAGATACACGTTCACTTTGCATCATCACAACACAGGGTGTTTATAAATTACTTTTAAAACTTTACACGCGAATTAAACCTCTACGAAAATACTTGTACACACTGTTTGAACGTCGTCTGCTACTGAAACTGTCGAAGTTTCACTGAGTTCTCGCTAGATGCCAACAACCATATTTTTGAATCAGTTAAGTCGCCAAGAAACCCCAGAAGACACAGTGCGTGGTGTGGTTTATCGAAACGAAATCGGGTACCCAGGTACAAAGGCGTTTCAGAACAACGCCACCATCAAGACCATCGATAAGTGCCTGGTACAAGCAGTTTAATCACTTCGAAAGTGTTTGGGACACATTAGATAGCCCCAAATTTAATGTGTGGTGTGGCCTATTGGTCGGATCCTTTCTCTTTGTAGAAGCAACTGTGACTTCCAGAAATTACCTGAATATGCTGGAAAAGTTTTTTCTATCCACAGTTACAAGAACTGCAACCTTCTTCCAGCATAACTGTGCATCTCCCCACAGGAGCTTCATTGTACGCGTAGCTCTTAATCAGCATTTCCCAGTCGATATCGGTACAAGCAGTTCGAAAGTGTTTGGGACACATTAGACAGCCCCAAATTTAATGTGTGGTGTGACCTATTGGTCGGATCCTTTCTCTTTGTAGAAGCAACTGTGACTTCCAGAAATTACCTGAATATGCTGGAAAACTTTTTCTATCGACAGTTACAAGAACTGCAACCTTCTTCCAGCATAACTGTGCATCTCCCCACAGGAGCTTCATTGTACGCGTAGCTCTTAATCAGCATTTCCCAAACCGATGGATCGGTCGCTCTGATCCAATTTCTTGGCCGGTCAGATCACCGGATATCACACCTATGATTCCTTTCCATGGGGATACGTAAAAGACTGTGTGTACCGGACCCCGGTGACCGATATCAACGATTTGAAGGGCAGAACTGAAAGTCCTGTTGAAACACTTGACGTTGAAATGCTACAGCGTACATGGATGAAGCCTCAATATTGTTTGGGAATTTTACGTGTGATAAATGGTGCCCATGATGAATGTTTGTGTGAAGTTCAGAACAAACTTCTAGAGTTTCACTCGCAGATGGCGCTCAGACAGTATCTGTTTTATTTTCTATAAAGTTTTTATACACGAGTAAAGTTGTAAAGATAATTTATATACATTATGTATATATTTATAATTGATCTTCGACATTTATTCAGTCTGCTTTCGGAGCTTTGGATGGATTTTCCTTGAAATAGATGTAATAGATAAGAAACCAATTTTGATTTACTTCATGTTTCATTGGTTTCAACGGGTCATTTCTATAGCCAGTGTAGCATACCCCATTAGATGCAAGAGGTCAATGGTTCGATGCCAGTACATAAAAGAAGTGAAATTGTAGTTTATCAGGAAACGGAGAAGTTCTAAGCGTAATCGCGTTACAAAACTCAAGGGAATATTTTTCTATACACTTACCGTAACCAAAATAAGAGTGCAAGATGTAGACACAACCGGAATATAAATGGGCCCGCACGTCTGCGATCAAGCTGGCGGTCACCGCGACAGGGAATTCAGCGCACACAACGAAGTAGCAACCAAGGAATAAGAAGGAGACAGCCACTGCACCCCTCATCCTCAACATTGAACCACCGAGCCAAGTGAAAACAAAATGTAATCCAACATCCTACTGGGCCATTAGTCCTGACACACCGACAACGAGAAAATGTTTTCTTTCAACTTTCCCACAACGATAATTGCGTACTAAATAGCAAATACTAAATAACAGTCTTACGCTTATGCGATCGAATACAGACAAAGTAAATGCCAGTATAAATATTTGTTATCCATAGGATGTTCTGGAAATAAAGACCACGATTAGTGTCACGCAGAACAATATCTGCAGAAACGTCGCGAAGGGATCATTCAGATTTCAATTTTGAAGCAATCCAAAATTTACGTGTTCGAGAGATTCTGATGACGGAGGCAGTATGACCTGTGTTCGAGAGATCCTGGTGACGGAGGCAGTATGACCTCCGAAACGTTGGTAAACATCGACCAGACTACACAGCGTAACAACCCAGAAGACGGAAATCTTCATACTCTGATGACGGAGGCAGTATGACCTCTGAAACGTTGGTTAACATCGACCAGACTACACGGCGCAACAACCCAGAAGACAGAAATCTTCGTACTCATCGCCCTGATGATGGAGGCAGTATGACCTCTGAAACGTTGGTTAATATCTACCAGACTACACGGCGCAACAACCCAGAAGACAGAAATCTTCATACTCATCGCCCTGATGATGGAGGCAGTATGACCTCTGAAACGTTGGTAAACATCGACCAGACTACACAGCGCAACAACCCAGAAGACAAAAATCTTCAGATCCTTAGGGGTTTCTCAGATCTATTTCTCTGATGGTTATCGCAGTGTGAACCTCTGGGTAAAGAGTAACTTCTGATTACAATGACGGCACAATCTGTTTATAAATAATTACTGAAGTTAAATTTCGGGTATAACAGTGTCGACTTTGCCTTCGGTTTGTGGATGAAGGATTTTTAAAGGAATATTTTAATTTACATTTGAAGTAACTTATTTTATAATCATACAACTTTTCGAAGACCAAGGGGATTGTACTTCGAATTAATAATTCAGCCTAAGTCTCGCTCCCGATATCAGGAAAAGTTCGTAATATCTTCTACCGTCCCGAGTGCGTCTCAATAAGGAATCATTTTGTGGACTGTGATCTCCTGAGTTGTGACCTCGTCTTATCTTGTAGGTGGTCGCAAACGTTTTGGAGATACGTATCGTCTGTATCACAATTCCTAACAACCAACAAACAGCCCAGAGTTTAATCGCTGTAGAAAACTCAGATCTCATACGAGTGACAGAAACCACTCACTGACATTTTACAAGTGTCTGGACTAATGTTGGAGACCTGGATTCTAAAGACAGGTACAGCAATTGGTAACCCAATATTTTAGTTTTATTAAATTTTGTATCAATCAGATTATAAAGCTACGGTCAGCGAAAATTCGCCCTCAGCATTTCCTGTAAACAAATTTCTTATTTGACGTTCTTACCACGTAACGTTCAGAAGTAATAACTAATGCCCTGGAAAGCCGTTAAGGTCTCATCCGTAATAAGAGAGGATTTTAAACCTAAGAAAGTATCCTTAAGGAACAAAATATTTTAAGTAATTCCATACAGCAGAGTCCTTCTTCGATAGTCGAGCGACATAGAATAAATTACCCACATTTTATATAAACCCCAAGTGTCATTATGGAGTTCACAGAGGGCGGCCATTGGACCATCATCCCGAGCCAGATTAATCCACCCTAAACCACACATTTCTTTCCATTAGCATTTTGTTTAATAAAGTAAAGTAAAATTTGTCCCACTATACGCCATGTAGGCGTTTGGGGGGAGAGGAGGTATAGCTCCTCTCTTCCTTGACCTCGGCACTAGATGGGGGTGAGTGGTCAGCATCACGCCCCGGCCGGCTTTACCCCCGGGAAAGGACCCCGGTACCCATTGTAGAGGAGGCTGGGTGGGCCCCAGAGCCGGTCTGGACGCAGAGGCTAGAAGAAAAATCCTCTGCCCCCCCCGTCGGGGATCGAACCCCGGTCGTCCAGCCCGTAGCTAGTCACTATACTGACTGAGCTATCCCGGCTCATAGCATTTTGTTTAATAGTATAATTTAATATACGCTTAGAGCTACTGTATTTCAAATCTTGTGTTTGTACGATAAAGTGCATTAGATGAATAAATCGATTAATATATAAATGGAGACTAAATGGAAGAACTTATTAAATTCTGATCGACAAACAAGGAAGTTTTAGAATTATTCTTGCTTTTAGCCAGGCTTCTTACGGGTTTACAAGTCGTCAGCTTAGGGTCATTTGTCATCGTCCCGCCTTTATACCACAACGGAGTTGCCCGTGGATGTTTGTATTTCGGTTTTTTATTTGGTTCTTGATGTATCTATGCTTCTGTATTGATCCTACATTGTCCATGTTATGTCCTGGTAAAAGCGGAAATCACATCTTGGTGACAACGTACTAAACGTCGGAATCACAACGTAGAAACAAACCTTATCAACAACAAAAAAAACATCTGATGTTATGCGATGTCACTAATTCTGCTGTAGCGTATTGTCGTGTTAATGATACGTTTTCCACAAAAGCAATTCTGTAGAATTGGACTGCATTGAAGTGGCCATAGTGAGATTACAAAAATTCTTTGTGTTTTGACTTGCTTATTGTCAAGGCGTATTGTATGGGAAAAATAAACTACTCGATTTTGACTTTTAAAATCCAAAATTTGTATAAATAACACTTCAAAATTCAACACTAATTCTGCTGTAGCGTATTGTCGTGTTAATGATACGTTTTCCACAAAAGCAATTCTGTAGAATTGGACTGCATTGAAGTGGCCATAGTGAGATTACAAAAATTCTTTGTGTTTTGACTTGCTTATTGTCAAGGCGTATTGTATGGGAAAAATAAACTACTCGATTTTGACTTTTAAAATCCAAAATTTGTATAAATAACACTTCAAAATTCAAATTTCACGCCAAATAAATCAAAAACATAGAACAAACATAATTAGTAATGTAAAATCTGTATTAATTTATTTATGTTTCTTGTCGTGATGTAAGAAGGGATAATATTTCCACCTTGTATACAGGTCACATAATTTTATAATTCCTTGAGGGTTTCCCTGTGCCTGCATCTTTGACATGTTTTATTATTTTAATTTGTTGGTCTACGGAATGAAAGTAGACTTACATGAAACTCTTCATTAATGCTATTGGCTCAATCATTTTTGTCAGAAATCCAATATATAAAACGAAAGTTTAAATTGAACTATTAAGCCTTCAATTCTGCTTCGTATTTCAGATGTAAAATGTTCTGTTCTTTTGTTCGATCCTTTGTTCAACTTCAAACAACACCGAACGCTCTGTCAGGATCTCTTTGTGTTCTCTGATATCATATTTCGACTGTATATGTCATTTACCGTCTCTGTTTGTTTGTTTGTTCGTTATTCTGTCTACACATTGTCTTAAAATGTGCACCAATTCGCTCTAACATTGCTCACGAACCGAAAGGCATAGAAATTGAAACTAAACGCATTTAAGCAGATTACATGATTAACTTTACAATTCGTGCCACTTGGGTTTAAAATTCTTTCCATCTCAGACGCTACACTCACAGATGTTCAAAATGGCGTCTCAAGTAGAGGAACTCCCCATGCCAAGAAGAGGGTCCTCGACATACACACGAGGACGCGATGGACTTCTTAAAAAGCAAGATTCCAGAAAAATCGTATCGTTTGGACACTCGTTCGTCTGACTTTGAGTTTTTGCTGCCTTAATTGTTATTTATTTATTGTTTTTTAAGTACATCAAGGATTAAGATGTCTTCTATCTTCTGGGTTGTATCGCTGTGTGGACTGATAGAAGTTTACCAACGTTTCACCCCTGACGATGGAGGCATCAAGGACCTCTGACACGTTATATCGAACTCAAAGAAGAAGTGTTTAGGACAAAATTTGTACAATTATGGTCACCGATGCGTTCACTAAGTTCTTCATATTCACATTCATATATATTCTTTTATCCTTTATTTAACAATGTCGTGAAAGACTGAATTTTCGTGTTATGGAATGAGATAGCCATCACCACTGAGTTGCGATCACCACTGAGCTGCGATAATCCACAGTTTGGTTGCCGGCCTCGAAATTCTAAGTCCATGGCCTCCAGCAAACGAGGTCACAGAAGAGGACACAGCTTCATTGACAATCTCAGTCTGTGACATCATCTATTACGTAACGCTCAACACTCTTACGTCATCCATGAGATCATAACGTACGTCACAATCGATTGTTCAGTGACGTGTACCCCGCCTTTGTGCAGTAGACTCGTCCAAGGTCTGCGTTACGCATATTGGAGCAGTCCATTCGGAAGAACGGGTTGAGGTCACAAAGAGGTGAAGGGTAGAGCCAACCCCCTAATGTCGAACCACTCCCCTTGCTATCCCCTAACTTGAAACTGGGGCTGCAATGTCACGGCCGGGGTCGTACCTTACAGTAACTAGGTCACACGGGGACAACCAAGGTCGCGGTGATGACGTCACGGCCATGGCAATGCCGGCCAGGTAATGGCGCATTGCAGAGGCAGCGGGAGAGATCCATCTGACGTGAGTGGATGAAGTCCTCGCGGTCAGCAACAACTGATCCAATGTCTTGTGTGTTTGGTCACTGGGGAAAGGCGTCCATACATTTAATATGATCGTAAAGGAAAACATCTCACGTTTAAACATTGATGAAAAGAAATTACTTTCGCAGAAATGGTGACTACAGCTGTCATAAAGAACTAGTAACTACTTAAATACGGCAGTAGACAAGCTAATGTTGTTCCCTGATGATGGAAGCAGCGAGGATCGCAGAAACGTTTGTATGTAAACTTCTACCAGATCGCACGGTGTTACAACCCAGAGGACAGCCATCTTCCTCAATTTTCTCTCCGTTATTCATGCAATAACGTTAATGCGTAGTTAATAATAAATTACAAGAAGACAGAGTTGAGATACAGACTAGATTTCGCATCCGCTAAACAAAGACACGTCTAAAGCTCTCCAAGACGTAAATAATGACGATCGAAATAATAACAATAATCATAATATGATATGTATATATTATATTATATTTATATTATAAGAGCTTTGGGGTGGCAAATGAATTGTTGCTTTGGTGTTATTGACGTGATTGTATCATGTTAATGATTGTGTTGTACACAACACTTCAAACTTCCATTTTTGTTGTCTGAATCATAAATTATACATCGAAACGTTTTCTAGGATATTAATATTAATATTAAACCACAAGAGATGTGGTTCACAGTGTTGTGAGTTCTGAGTTGAGCTTATACATGTTTTATTCACGATAAAACACAAAATCAGAAAAACTGTATCCTTCATGAAAATTAATTTATATCTAATAAAGAAATTATAAGCAAAGATTTACATAAAACACATTTTAAGTAGAAAATGAAGGGTAACCGAAAAAATGAATAACTTTTAGATTTATTATATTGATCCGAAAAGTAAAAACCTGTCTATTTTATTGTTACGTTTCTGTGATCAAACGCACTTAGTGAATTAAAGATTTTAGATACACGACCATGTAAGTACCTGTAATACAAAATGGAACGAAATATCATTTAAAACTCTATAATTTCCTTCTTCTCGCTGTCAAAGTAATTGATTCGAAGTTAAAGTTTTGACACCGTCAAAATGTTTAATGGAATGCATTAGACGCGACGCTAGTTGGCATTAGTACTTTGACGTTCTGAGCCATCATGCTGCAGAACGTCCTTCTCTGCCTGCTAGTGCCTATAACACGAGTCGCCCTGAAGAAACCAGAAATTGCAGAAAATCGAGGAGAAGTCATTTCTGAACTCAAACGGCATATCCAATTTAAATCGGTGATTCTGCTTCAATCTTCTGATCATCACAATGCATGTAAATACCGCAATCTGTCACTTTACTAGCCGAAATAAATGTTTCTATGGTGGGCTTTGACGTGAACGATTTGAACCCCAATACTACGAGTAGTAAAGAAAGAATGACTGTAGTTTTCGTCCGAATTATTTACTGAAAATAAGAACCAGTGATGGGGTTTGTACACGTTAATTAAACAAACTGTGTTACTATCATCATTTAAAAACCACCCTGTATTATACAGTTAGTTTAAGTCTCAAACTAAATGTGATTCGAGAGTACTACTGATCAAAATATATAATAAAATTAAGGTCAATACACAAAACTTTATTTGGATGTTAAAATTTAAATGTTAAAATTTAAAATTTTAAATTTGCGCCATTCATCACTATAAGGATGTTACATTAGAGCGCTTTCATTCATTTCACAACATGTTTCGATGTAATACATCATCTTCAGGTGTTGTTTTTATACGTACATTTTTTGACCATTAAAAAAAAACACACCTGAAGATGATGTATTACATCGAAACATGTTGTGAAATGAATGAAAGCGCTCTAATGTAACATCCTTATAGTGATGAATGGCGCAAATTTAAAATTTTAAATTTTAACATTTAAATTTTAAATTTTAACATCCAAATAAAGTTTTGTGTATTGACCTGAATTTTATTATATATTTTAATCAAAAACACAAACATGACGCATGTAAAACCAAGCACTACTGATCATTTGATTGTCTTCATCCAAATCGAGCTCAACAGGAGCTCGCCTCCAGATTCTAACCTGAGAGAGACGAGTCCAGTCAATACAACCACATCCCACTTCTTGAATACTCTCAGATCTGTTGTTGTAGGCGGCTAGAATAATAGCAGATGTCCGAACATTTATCAAGATGAGTAAAACTCGATTTTTAATTAGTTTTCGCTATTAATAAAGCTCTGTTTCGTGTCAGATATTAGACTGCCTTCGATACACAGATGCTGAAATCGATTCAGGTAAACGTATTACTTTGTGCGTGGTAATAATAACGAATGTTACAACGTAAAGTCAAATCAGAAATGGAGTTCTCAGGGAAGGTAATAAATTAAGTAATAAACAATAAGAGAAATTTAAAGAATCGTCTAATTACTAATTTCGTTCGATAATTAGCGCCGTATGTCTTATTCCTGACATCACGCCGTGTCTTCCACGTTGCAGGGAGTAGCCAAATGACGAGGGTGCAACTCGCAAGGTACCTGCTCATCAGGTTCATCCCCACAACAGCGATGGCAACGAACAGTTCACAACAGCCGTTGCAGAGTACTCATCCCGGCCAACTTGTAGTTCTTCTTACATCAGATCCTACGTTTCTACGTAATGTAAGTCTGTGTAATGTTACACGTGATCAAAACTTCGCCAACAACAGGGCGTAGAGGTCTCAGGTTCTAGTTTCAAAGACTCGCTATCCTGGTTAGGGGTTAGCAGTTTTAACCATTCACTCCATGAAATAGTTCCTTAAATTGGGTCAACAGTTTCCTTCCAAATCCATTGCAATTAACCATTCTGTGATAAATTCGTGCAACGTAAGCAGTTTTATGAACCACAACCAAAAAAAAAAAAAAACCAAGGAATCGCCCAACATGGCCACAGAGCGTTCTTTTCTGTGTGTGAACAAGTGCACAGACTTCGCACGAAATTACAGTTCAAAGGATATTTAGAGCTGGTTAAGAAGGGCGAAAATCAAATGCAATTTATATGGACTTTGGCCTTTCCTGTCCACCACCTTCAGCCGTCTGCTTATATCAGTTGATATAATAGTAGTAAGAATTACGTAGATTGTGGTCTTCTGGGTCATGGTGTCTTGTGATTGGCTACCAATGTTACTGAGGAACATATTGCCAACATCTTCAGGGTTACTCTGTGGAATACCGATAACCACCCACAAAGAAGCTTGGAGTCAACGACCTGAAAATAAATTCTCACCGTTGTGACGACTTAAATATCACCTTTATATCACGAAATTTTGTTATAATATTAGATCTAGTTTCATTCCTGTATCCTTCATTAAATCTCTCGCGAGTTAAAGTATTTTTCTTACAATTTTCTTTTAAAAAAACTCCAATGTTGTTTTATAAAAACAAGAGAACAAACACAGACTAAACACAGGCATTATTTTCTATAATTTAAACTTACGGACATTCGATAACGCAGTAGTTATGAACTGACAATGAAATGCATGTTCACTGTTTGTTCTGTTTCTATCACGTGTTCTACAAGTGAATCGTGACATATTTTAAAATTACAACGTTAATTTCTGATTGTCTCGAATCTCTATTTCGAGACGCGCTCATCTGTTCGGATTACCTGCAGGTGTTTGAGAAGTATCAGCTGGCAAACGTGGTATGGCTGGCATTTCTGGAGCTGGGGCAGTCTCTGCAGGATCTCGCAGGGGACTCGAACATTCCATTCGACGTGCAGTTCATAGTGGCACAGCCTTCTGACGTCGAGACGCGGTTGTTCGACGTATACCGCGTTGCCCCTGGTACGCCACTTCGCGTTCAGCTGTTGGGAGCTCTCCCTAGGTCCATCGCCGCCTCGGAACAGACTCACGAGTACGTGTACCGACGCAGGACGTCGCTGGGAGGCCACACGATGAGAACATCAAGCTTAAATGTGAGAATGAATTAATATGTGTTATATGAAACGATTTGAAATTTCTTTAACAAAGCAACGCACGCTGCCTAATAAACTCAACGGGGCAAGAAACTAGAGGCTATGAGGACGCCACTTATGTTCCAGAATTCCTTCCTGGTCTGGGTGAACGAGGATAAAACGATCGGTGGCTTCTACGGCAAAGTGTGGGCCAATCTGGAACAACATTTGAACTTCAAGTACGTTAAAAATACGCTAGGCCGCACACGGCTTGACAGACAGCAAGTCTCCTGCAGGAGTTTAGCTGGGAGGTGTTTAATCATTCACCCTACAGCCCGGATCTCGCTCCCAGTGATTTCCATCTTTTCCTACACCTCAAGAAATTCCTGTCCGGTCAGCGTCAGCGTTTTGAGAATGACAGAGAGGCGGAGATGGTTGTCACACAGTGGTTCCAATCCCAGGCGGGCGACTTCTACGACACAGGTATTCAAAAGTTGGTCCCACGGTATGACCAATGTCTCAATTCCGGTGGCGAATATGTTGAAAAATAGCTGGACACTTGCTGTATCTGTTGCAATAAATATTTCCATGAAATTGTGTTTTGTTTCTGTAAACGGCCCCAGGGAAACTTACTTTGAGGACGCGCCTCGTATTACCTTCCGCTCTGCTCCTGTCAGTACGGATTGAGCTTTCAACGTTTCGAGCAGAATTTCTGCTTCCATCGTCAGAGATTAGTTCCTTTATCGCAGAACCATCTTAATCCAATACTTGATTGTATTTAACATCCTGTTGTAATGGATATTGGTAAACATCTATTTGAAATTTCTCACTGCTCCTTGCTGTACCTCATTTTCACAAACGTGACTCTGACGACCGAGTTATGGCAGCGTAAACATTGTGACGGAGAGGAGAATTTTCTGCGTCAAGGTTACAGTAGTTACAAATTTCTTTGTTTCCTCGAGTGTGTTGAATGTCTAGTAGACGTCATCCTTGATTTACTGTGCCAACAGATCGGATGTGATCGTGCCTGCGTCTGGCCTATGGGGTAGAAAGCATATCAATAACACGTGGGATGGCGTAATTGGGATGGTCAACAGGGGTGAAGCTGAGGTCGGGGTGTGTGACATCGCCATGAATGCTGAGCGCGTGGGAGTCGTCTCATATACAATGCAAATTGCAACTTTCCAGTACGTAATTAACATTGTCTACTGTACATTGTCCTGCGTGCTTTCATTTCCAGTCGATTATTTTATCTTACGCCCAGTCAATAGCCCATACAAAGGTAACAAATGCCAGCTTTCCAGAACGCCATCACGTTTTCTGCCTAATATAAAGGCCTGAGGCTAATTCAAGAGGAGAAATTCGGATTATTTCATTTTTACACTAAGTTGCTTCTGTGGAATGAAATCCTTAACTATCAGAAAACTTCCAGAAGCGATGTGACCTGTAACGATGAATTAATTTCCCTTAGGTTTCAACAACATTTGGTGAGATTTCAGGCTCTCACGGCTACAAGTATGAAGATTTCATCTAGGAGTTGCACTGTGTAGTCTGGTAGGAGTTTACCGACGTTCCAGAGGTGCTTGCTGCCTCCATCATCAGAGGGACTCTTCTTAATTTCCATGACGATTGAATACATTATTTCCCTGAGACAGTGACATTGGTCAGGTACCTTATCGTGCACTCGGGGCTATTTGTGGCCTATAAAAATATCACGTAGATTTTCTTGGAATAATTATTCCTTCCAGTCATTATGCCACTGTCAAGCATACTTCGGTCCCCATGTTGTAACATGCCAGCAGAAATACACCAGCTTTCGTCCTCAGTCGAGACTTCTTCCCGGACTGTAATGCAAATTAGAGTGCAATGATTCCTTCGAAAATGTAAACGAGCACCAGTAACTATTTCAGTAAGCCAAAACATTACATATATTTGGTCGCGATTTATGTTAAAATTTGCGAGGTCCTAGCCGACAGACTCCTTCCTCTTGCAGTTACAAAGTGTTCATCAGAAAGGGCGACGAGGACGTCTCGTGGGTAAGCTTCCTGCAAGCCTTCAGTGCCGGACTGTGGCTCGCCATCGTGGCCTCCGTATTCGTCATGGCCCTCGCACTCAAAATTTGCTTTCACGTCGGACTCCTACAGGGGAAGGAACATTCAAGACACAACAAGTTTCACGACTGGTTGTTCGCTACACTTGGAGCATTGATCTGTTTACAAGGTAAACGTAAATTATTTTTTACATTTGTTTAAAACTTTGCATTGTGGGAGAGGCTTTTATATTTCTTTATCAACATCTGTTTGTTCTTAAGTTGTAGATTCTTTACGAAACAGTTAAAAGAAGGTATTAGTACACTGATATCAAACTCCTCGTGGCATCTTCACTCAGCTTCAAAAGCGCATCATAGTTGTAGTTCAGGATCTCATTGGTACCGCGTATTACTCAAGTCTGATATCATCTTTAATCTCATTGTGGTCTTAATTTCACTTTCAAGCGACGCCAACTCAGTTCAGTTGCGTCTAATTTCCAGCTTCATCCAAATTCGACAAAACACAAAACGAGTTCATGTCTAGCCGAGTTCAGTCTCTGCTCAACTACTACGCGTTCCTTTCAATCTGATCATTTTCTGGTTTTATCTTCTAGGTCAGACCAGCGCGCCGCTGTCTGTTCAGTGTCGACTCGTGTATATCTTGCCCTATGTCCTGGGTTCGGTGTTGATGTGTGCATACTCGGCCGCTGTCATCTCGTTCCTTACAGTTCACAAGACGAATCTACCAATCAGTGGCGTCGAACAGTTACACAAAGACAAAACATACGAAGTTGGGGCTGTACAGAATTCTTCAACGTTTGTATCATTCCAGGTATGTTTTTTTTTGTAGTGTTCTGTCTGCCGACAGGTCCATATGAACAGGATCCTTCCATCCTTTTCTCGGACTGGTACCTGTTCATATACGTTCTTGGCAGAGATGATCCAGAAGTGGTTTGCCATTGCCTTCTTCTGTGTGTGAATGGAGTAATTGTTGGGATGCCACGGAGAAACCGGGGAAGCCCCCGGAGGAAAACTCCGTGATGCCTAGACCACGGCCTTGCCCAACACAAGTTATAAATTTGAACACCACCGGGAATTGAACCCGGGACTCCAGGCTTACAAGGCTAGTGTTCTGACCGCTAGACCACCGTGGCGGTTCCAGGTATGATCTCACTCAAATTACAATTTAGTACAGAATAAAATTGTTAGGCATATTCAATACGATCGTGAATTACTTCATAAATGTACGACAACTGTAGCACTTCTGGATTACATCCCGTGCCAAATGTCAGGGTATTTCCAATTCGGAATGTTCAGAGTTTAAATCTCTGCCCGTAGACTGGATATTACGGCCTCCTCATGCCCTGCCTGGATAGTGCTTTAAATTAGGCCACGACCGCAGCCTTCATTTAAGTTTTATTCAATTCCCTATTCGTTTATCATCCAATTATCCGACTTTACATGATCTGAGTAAGTAACAGTCTCGTTAGATAAATCATAACTAAAATAAAATAAATACCAACTTCGAGATATGAGCCGGGATAGCTCAGTCAGTATAGTGACTAGCTACTGGCTGGACGACCGGGGTTCGATCCCCGATGGGGGCAGAGGATTTTTCCTCTAGTCTCTGGGGCCCACCCAGCCTCCTCTACAATGGGTACCGGGGTCCTTTCCCGGGGGTAAAGCCGGTTGGGGCGTGATGCTGACCACTCACCCCCATCTAGTGCCGAGGTCAAGGAAGAGAGGAGCTATACCTCCACTCCCCCCAAGCGCCCACATGGCGTATAGTGGGACAAACATTACTTTACTTTTACCAGCTTCGAGATATATGAATTTCAATCGTATAACGTTTTTTTAAAATATGTTTTACCTTAAATATACGTTTATAAGATTTCTGGAATTTGCTCAGGGTACCAATAAAATTCCCGACATGTATGGAATCCGAATATTCATTGTCGTGTTCACGGAAACACTCCGTTGATCCACGATAAGATTAAAAATATAATATTCGCTTTTAATGAGATCCTTTCAAGTACTCTTGGGTCTCCCAATTGGTCTGTTCCCTTCAGACTTTTCGATTATAATTTTGTGAAAACATTTCTCATCTCTCACATGCCTGCCTTCGTCAAAAATTATGTGATTTTTCAGAATCTTAAAATCTTTCGGCGTAGGAAAGGAAACGTATATAAACCCGCTCTTAAACTGCAGCTGCTAGAGACTTCCCCGCTGTTGCAGGAGTCCGGGGAAAAACTATTCCAGGCGGTGTACAAGGAGCGTCTGCAGCCTAACCAGGCCAGAATGCCCAAGAGGGTCCTCAGCGGTCTGCGTCGCGTGTGCCAGGACAAACGATACGCGTTCATGGCGCCCGTTGAGGAGACGGTGGAACACCTCCCGTACCTCAGCTGCGCGGTTATTTATCTGCCCGAGGGGCTCTTCGAGATGAAGTACGGCATCGTGTTCAACGAGCGGAGTCCCTACGTCGGAATATTCCGGTACACGTGCGTGTCACAGGCCACTTGGAGCGCCACGTGGAGGTCTGGACGCGGGCACCATTTGCTTTTTACCTACCAACTACTCGTGTTACATAACACAGAATAAAGTATTTTAGATTTTATAAAGTATAAGCAGGACTGACTCTTGCTTCATAAATCATGTAAGGATCTGTATCAACTGCAGAGGCTATTGTGCGTCAAATCATATGATGGCAATTTCCAGTGAAATGGAAAAGTTCGGAGAAGAAAATTTGGTCTGTTTTTTTCCTTTAGGATTGCTGATTCTTCACCCATAGATAATCCAAACGGATATCTCGTCAGTATAAACAGATAAATTGATCAAAACTTGAGATACTTCTTTTGGCAAGATCAAGACTGTGGATTTAAGGTTACTGTCCTTACACTTGACTGGTGAGCTATAATAGACTCACATTAAAGCCCCAAACAATGCACTCAGAGTATGATATCTGCCTTAAGTGCGTACATCTCCACAGTGTGGTTACCAGGGTTACTCACCAATATTTTTGTCACACTCATCGAGTCAGACACTGTCCTTCAGACCAGACACCCGTGCCTGCGTTCAGATGCCCATAGCTCTCGCTCAGCCCCAATTTTCGTCGTCTTTCTTCATTGATACATAGAAATATTCCAAAATAAGTACAAAAATAGCCACTTTCCCACTTAAAACTAATATCCGGCGTAGCTCAGTCAGTGTACTGGACGACCTGGGTTCGATCCCCGACGGAGGCAGATGATTTTTCCTCTAGCCTCTGTATCAAAACCGGTTCTGGGGCCCACCCAGTCTCCTAGCCTCCACCTAGTGCCGAGGTTAAGAATCAGTAGGAGCTATACCGTCTCTCCCCCCAAGCGCCCACATGGCGTATAGCGGGGCAGCTTTACTTTTTTCTTACTATAATAAACTCTTCAGTTTGCAGAAGTTACGAGAGACGGGAGCCATACAGAAGTCGCACCAGGACACAATGAGATACCGACCCAGGACCGATGAGACGGCAGTCAAGGGCGTGGAACTGGTGGATGTTATCCCAGTGTTGAGTTTTCTGGCGTCGGGAATTCTTGTGGCTGTGTTTCTGGTTCTCCTGGAACGTCTTGTAACCCAGAAAGATCACAGACGCCGCTGAATTTAGTACGTGTCATCCGGCATAGTGAGTGTGTCAGAATGCCTACTTGTCCCCTTGGTAATGCAAACGTATGCAGTCGATTCCATTTTGACGGACGTAGAGTTTGAAGTAATTCTATCGACAAGTTTAATTATTTGTGGCTTCGTTTGTAAGTACTTGCTTGAATACAGTTTAATTTAATTTAACTCATGAGAATATTAAATGCAGTGTCACTAACATAACTTCCAAGTGGCATCATTTTTTCCAACACGTTTCAGAACAACAAATTTTGCGTAATAGTTTAGGTACATGACATTCCTTAACTGCTATCATTGAAAATTAAAAATCTACTTAATTTTATTAAATACTAGCGTCTATTTGTCACTGACACAACTTAGTTCAATATTTACAGTTTTATTGTTAACTCTGACATTGCCGTCATGTGTTGATAAAGATTGGTTTATTTTATTCCTGTCTGCTCTTTCTGAAACAGTTCGGTGTCTTTGGAATCAAATGGAATATCTTCCAGAAATTGATCTAAACACTAAGAGATGATAATGTTGCGTCATATTGTGATGATTATAATTGTTTAATTTTAACCGTCTAATCACAATAAAATATTTTATTAAATATTAAAATATTATTATTACAATTAACATTTAATATTTAAAATATTTAAATTGGTCTGTTCCCTTCAGACTTTTCGATTATAATTTTGTGAAAACATTTCTCATCTCTCACATGCCTGCCTTCGTCAAAAATTATGTGATTTTTCAGAATCTTAAAATCTTTCGGGCGTAGGAAAGGAAACGTATATAAACCCGCTCTTAAACTGCAGCTGCTAGAGACTTCCCCGCTGTTGCAGGAGTCCGGGGAAAAACTATTCCAGGCGGTGTACAAGGAGCGTCTGCAGCCTAACCAGGCCAGAATGCCCAAGAGGGTCCTCAGCGGTCTGCGTCGCGTGTGCCAGGACAAACGATACGCGTTCATGGCGCCCGTTGAGGAGACGGTGGAACACCTCCCGTACCTCAGCTGCGCGGTTATTTATCTGCCCGAGGGGCTCTTCGAGATGAAGTACGGCATCGTGTTCAACGAGCGGAGTCCCTACGTCGGAATATTCCGGTACACGTGCGTGTCACAGGCCACTTGGAGCGCCACGTGGAGGTCTGGACGCGGGCACCATTTGCTTTTTACCTACCAACTACTCGTGTTACATAACACAGAATAAAGTATTTTAGATTTTATAAAGTATAAGCAGGACTGACTCTTGCTTCATAAATCATGTAAGGATCTGTATCAACTGCAGAGGCTATTGTGCGTCAAATCATATGATGGCAATTTCCAGTGAAATGGAAAAGTTCGGAGAAGAAAATTTGGTCTGTTTTTTTCCTTTAGGATTGCTGATTCTTCACCCATAGATAATCCAAACGGATATCTCGTCAGTATAAACAGATAAATTGATCAAAACTTGAGATACTTCTTTTGGCAAGATCAAGACTGTGGATTTAAGGTTACTGTCCTTACACTTGACTGGTGAGCTATAATAGACTCACATTAAAGCCCCAAACAATGCACTCAGAGTATGATATCTGCCTTAAGTGCGTACATCTCCACAGTGTGGTTACCAGGGTTACTCACCAATATTTTTGTCACACTCATCGAGTCAGACACTGTCCTTCAGACCAGACACCCGTGCCTGCGTTCAGATGCCCATAGCTCTCGCTCAGCCCCAATTTTCGTCGTCTTTCTTCATTGATACATAGAAATATTCCAAAATAAGTACAAAAATAGCCACTTTCCCACTTAAAACTAATATCCGGCGTAGCTCAGTCAGTGTACTGGACGACCTGGGTTCGATCCCCGACGGAGGCAGATGATTTTTCCTCTAGCCTCTGTATCAAAACCGGTTCTGGGGCCCACCCAGTCTCCTAGCCTCCACCTAGTGCCGAGGTTAAGAATCAGTAGGAGCTATACCGTCTCTCCCCCCAAGCGCCCACATGGCGTATAGCGGGGCAGCTTTACTTTTTTCTTACTATAATAAACTCTTCAGTTTGCAGAAGTTACGAGAGACGGGAGCCATACAGAAGTCGCACCAGGACACAATGAGATACCGACCCAGGACCGATGAGACGGCAGTCAAGGGCGTGGAACTGGTGGATGTTATCCCAGTGTTGAGTTTTCTGGCGTCGGGAATTCTTGTGGCTGTGTTTCTGGTTCTCCTGGAACGTCTTGTAACCCAGAAAGATCACAGACGCCGCTGAATTTAGTACGTGTCATCCGGCATAGTGAGTGTGTCAGAATGCCTACTTGTCCCCTTGGTAATGCAAACGTATGCAGTCGATTCCATTTTGACGGACGTAGAGTTTGAAGTAATTCTATCGACAAGTTTAATTATTTGTGGCTTCGTTTGTAAGTACTTGCTTGAATACAGTTTAATTTAATTTAACTCATGAGAATATTAAATGCAGTGTCACTAACATAACTTCCAAGTGGCATCATTTTTTCCAACACGTTTCAGAACAACAAATTTTGCGTAATAGTTTAGGTACATGACATTCCTTAACTGCTATCATTGAAAATTAAAAATCTACTTAATTTTATTAAATACTAGCGTCTATTTGTCACTGACACAACTTAGTTCAATATTTACAGTTTTATTGTTAACTCTGACATTGCCGTCATGTGTTGATAAAGATTGGTTTATTTTATTCCTGTCTGCTCTTTCTGAAACAGTTCGGTGTCTTTGGAATCAAATGGAATATCTTCCAGAAATTGATCTAAACACTAAGAGATGATAATGTTGCGTCATATTGGGAAAAATATTTTATTGTGATTAGACGGTTAAAATTAAACAATTATAAACACTAAGAGTCAAAGTTGTGCGATTTTTACACTTAGGATAGTGAATTTTGTCGGTGTTTCTGCAAACATTACATTCATGATTTCTTGTTTAGTACGTAACGAAGACAACTGCTTTGTAACTTACTGGTAGATACGCAGTGTTGATAGAAGAGTTCACCCACCTAAAGCCGTAATTCGTTCTGCCCTGCGCACATGGCGAAAGCTTCAAGAAGAAACCACATTTAACTACACGCTGTTTTGTCAGCTGTTCCAAATTGGCCGCAAATCGGAAGGCCTCACTTGCTCCATAGCCTGTACCAGTTGCTCCATAAAGTCTCTGTAAACCCTCGACCCCATATTGGCGGCCAGCAACTGAAGGAACAACCAGTCCCCGCAATCTAGACTCTGCGTCACCGGTGAGAGGTACGTGGGTTCCAGGGTGACGGGCGCCCCAAGAACCCTCTGCGCCCAAACGGACACGAAGCTACGGCTATGTACAGACGTGCAGGCCAGAAGTCCCAGTATCGTCAGTCGCCACAGCAGAGACAGGGCTGACACCAGAGCCAAAAACGCGAACCAGAGCCACAGCGCCATGAAGATCTTCTCGTTGACGACGTTTAACGCCATGACGCAGAGCGCATCGTGATTCTGGATCGTCCCCGACGGACCGTATTTCCGAAACATGCACTTGGTCACCTTTGGGAAAACTGTCTCAGCAGGCGACGTCTCCAGTATCTGCAACACCAATGAGGGTGTTCCTCTTTTGGACTGTGGCGCCATGTTGACTCGTAGGCAGATACCAACTTGAAGATGGAGAAAGAATTTTCCCCCAAAACGTTGTTATCCACCTACGAGACCACGCGGTGGAATACCATCGTCTTTACAAGAGTGAGACACTCAAAACTCACTTCGTCGTCTTCCTCAGCTCTTCAAGGTTCATTATTTTGTTCACGACAACACTCAGTAAGACCCTGAGATAGTTAACATCTTCAAAGTCTGCTTCATTAAGAGAGTTCCTCATATAATTCTTATTACTGTACCACGTGATCCTGTGTTAAAAACAGTTATTCCCTTCTGGTAATACATTCATAACATTGTACATACTTCTTGTATCCCCCATGCACTGTGCTTGATTTCGTCCATTATATAATTTGTTTAACTGGAAAGGGTTTAAAGGAATTTAAATAAATTTGTTAAGTTCCTAAACCTATATTATACTCTATTATATCAAAACTTCGCTATTTAATTAATTTCGGTTAATTATACTGGTGCCAAGATTTAATAGTACCTGGCGCAATACTGTGTGACGTAGGCAGCCCCTGCACGGGCTTAAGAATACAGCGCTATTGCCATGCTTTCAATTGAATTCGAAACGTCGTTTGCAGTAGCGAGATTGTAGCGGTCAGAGCAGGTCCTACATGCCGATACAGGAGTTTCACAACGCGCCTTACAAACACGCGACTGTCGGTGAGGCTTTATATACATAATTTAACTTGTACTAAATCTCTTCAAACATGTCCACTCACCTCAAGGCCGTACTGACTCATCTTCAGTCCATAATGATAGAAGTTACCACCCAGAATTTGGTCAGTGAGGAAGACGTTGGCGACAACGTTCAGCAGATTTAGCAGTTGACACACGTAGAAGCCTGTGGCCCAGATACGGAACGTGTGGAGTCTGGCAGTGAAATAGCGAGCTAGAGTTCGTAACTTGTCCCTTCCAGGTCCACGGACATCGTCCCTGAGCCCTGTTAGAGACCCACGCACCAGACCTCCTTCCCAGTTACGCCAAGCTGCGTGTGGCGACGCGAAGAGTAGGGCCTGAACGAATAATACGAAGGGCACCCACTGGTAGTAAGCGTGGCGTCGCTCTGCAGAGCCGTGTCCCTGCCAGGTCTCACCTGGAACGCAACACGCATTACTGAAGGCTCTGTCACGTACGACGATGATTCTGAGACAGATAGTCAACCCTTTCCATATTACACACTAGATAACAGATTTACGTATTCAGACAACTCAGCAACAATTCTTGAATTTTGTATGTTAGAGATTAAATTCTGTAGGATTCCATTGTGTAGCCACGGTGGTCTAGCGGTTAGAACGCTGGCCTTGTAATCCTGGGGTCTCGGGTTCGATTCCCGGCGGTGCCCGAATTTATAACTTGTGTTGGGCAAGGCCGTGGTCTAGGCAACACGGAGTTTTCCTACGTGGCATCCCAACAATTACTCCATTCACACACAGAAGAAGGCAAGGGCAAACCACTTCTGGATCATCTGCCAAGAACGATTCCATTATTTTGAGAAAAGAAATTTTGTGAAGAAAGGTTATTTTTTAGATTTTAAAGTTCGGACGGCCTGGGGATATGCAGGACGAACCTAGACCCATACCTGAGTGACCCACGACGGTGTAACTGCTGCTCACGAAGCAGTAAGTGTTGAGCACATGCGTAGGGATGGTTGGATCGTCACCCGGACCGCTTTGTATGCAGAGGATAGGGTCCCCGAAGTACTGGCGACTGGACACCAGAGTGCAGCATACGAGCAATATGGCGGACGTTACGCGATGGTGCAGTGCAGAAACGACCGTGTCCACAGACACGCGATCCTGCGAACCACGGCTAACTTGTACCCGGGACTTCAGTTCCTTTAGTACTCCGAGCATTCTGCAGTCAACAACAGTCTTATTCTACGATTACCTTCATAAAGTCTGCTCAAAAATCTATACACTTACCCTTACCATTCGCTTCTGTAGATAAAGATGAAAATTTGTGGCCCTTGCATTGTGAAGTGTGGACTTGTATACGGATATCAATCTACAGCTGAAGATTGAGGTAGTACGCTCCTCCGAAATATTACCCAATTACAAGTCAATACTGACACATATTTATTCTTTCTTAAACCTCAGCTTCCTAGTCTAACATTATTTTTATGTTGGCTACACGTTTCAACGACAGTCCTTGTTTCCTCACAAAGGACCTGTTGCAGGGTAGGTCCTTGGTCGGACAGGGTTGATGTTGAGGACATTTCTGTAGCTGAAATGGTAGCCTACTGCTGATATACATTAATCCTATTTCGCAGAATATCGTGTTAAGCAGCTGAGCACATTTCCTTCTGCTACACCGTGGTTTCTTAGCATGCATACGGCACATTCACATCTACTTCGGGATTCGTGATCTAACTACACGCCGGAGGACACGCAAATTCCACAACCGAGTCCCAGAAAATGTACAGACTGAATAAACAGCTGAAATTCAAGTTTTCAGCGCGTTTTACGAATAGCGCGACTATCTAAATTCTGTCAGTGAGAAAAACATCGTAACCAGTTTTTATTTAGCTTTCTTCAACTTCATATCCCTCCAGAAGATATAAATGTCGAGTTATATCGTATGTCGATGGCTCTGATATAGATTATAAGTGACCAGCGACAAGGGGAGATTGTTAAAATGGAGAACAGATCATGTTTCGTCTGTGATGGCCTTCCGGATTGTGAAGTCGTATCTACTTGTAGGTTGATACTGATGTCTCGGAGGAACATACTGTCTCCACCTTAAGCCCTGAAAATGGAGACAGAATGTTCCTCCAGGATGTTGGTAACCACCTGAAAGTCCACACGACGTTATACCTCAGAAGACCACCACAGATATCTTCAGAACCGTGAGAATTTCATGTCTCAAAGAGTTTATGTCTTACCTAGAATTTCAGTTCCAGAACTCTTTCAGTTTTGTACACTGGAATCCATCCTCACCACCAGCATGAAGGAAATTGGGGTTACTCTGCGCCGTCACTGGTCTCATTACCGGCTGTAATAAAAATATTTTTTACATAAAACGTGGAAGTCCCCGTGCAGTATATTTTAAATTATCTCCAGACGATCATTTATTTCCTCTGAAAGAGACACTGGCGCATTACACAAAAAAAGAACGACAAATTTCTGTTTCATTCCCTTCACTGCTAAAAGCGTTTACGTAAGGATCATTTCCGCCAGAAAACAAAGTTCACGTTCTCACAAATTTCTGTGCTGTTCACTTGGAGAGAAATTTCTGTGAGCACGCAGCGGAAGCAATTGTAGACCTAAATGACACAAACGTTCGTCACTTTGAGATAATCCAGAAAACTAGATAATTAAAACTACGATGGAATATTCCCTCGTAATCTGGTAGACGTTTATCGACGTTTCAGAGGTGCATGCTGTCAAAATCATCAGGACGATGCTCTCCGAAACGTCGGAAAATTTCTACCAGACTACACGGCGAAATAGTCAGAAAGAGTCATTTTAAATCCATACAGAGTCAAGAATACGTCTAAAAAACGTCAACGAATAACCTAAAAATTTCGCTCACGTGTTCATAAAGCCAAGCGACAGTCCCTATCCTGAGCCGAATTAATCCAGTCCACACGCTATAACTCTATTTCCTTAAAACACATTTTAATATTATCCTCGCAAACACGTAGCTATTCTTCTTCCCCACATGTACTTTTACCAAAATCTTGTAAGAATTTCTCAGCTGCCAATACGTGCTACATAAACCGCCCATCTCATCCTTTATGATTTGATCGTTCTAATCTTTATATTTGTTAAATAGTACAAATTATAAAGGTGGTCATTTTGCAAGCGCCTCCTGGCTTCCTGTCACGTCATCAGACTCAGGCCCAGTCACCGCCTCTGGACTGCCCTAAAACACACTCAAATAGTGAAAGTTCCATTACCTCAGCTTGAGAATAAGTTTTACCCACGCAGAACAACAGGCGAGATTACGTTATTAGATATAACACGGGCCCAGTACACTTAAACCAACAATTCTTTACACAGAACCGATCAACTTTACTTATAACACCGGTATCTCGACGCTGTATAGTCTAAGCTGCTGATAAACGTCGTTAAATAAACTATAAACGGTGGACACTTCACTTCACTTCAATATAGTAAGAATTCACAGACTCAAAAAAGCTCTTAACACTGAACTTTGGTTACCTTCGGCGTTCTTAAGATCCAGAAGCTCTTACCAAGATCCCACATTCCATTGAGGATCTCGACAATACCGCGTCCTCATACAAGACAATGGCTTACCTTCAATCCTGCTACGGTGTTATCAGCACGATGTTCTCTGAGCGACAATCCTTGTCCACCTTGCGTTAATCATTTGGAATTTGGCCCCTCCACCCGCGCGTCGCCTCGTAACAATACCATTGTGTATTAGAGTCACATCCGTTCCCAAGACACACACTACCCCGCTTTACCCCTTAACCACCTGAACAGGTTCAGGCCCACTGAAATCGTCGAGTGAGGCAAGGTTTTCGCATACACTACGTCATTTGTCGATAAGAATTTCGGAATCTCGTTGGTTTGGATCAAGATGTCCGTGTTTTTGGATAAGTTACTAATTCATCATTTCATTTTCCGTCCATAAGTGTTGACACTACACTAACCTTTACTCCAAGACCAGACAAGTGCTGGCCAGAGATAAAGACGACCATAGCTGCTTAGAAACTAATTTTATGTGCTGTTTGTTCAAGGCTATAGCATTTATTATTATTTAGTGTTCTGTCTGACGACAGGTCCATATGAACAGGATCCTTCCATCCTTTTCTCGGACTGGGACCTGTTCATATACGTTCTTGGCAGATGATCCAGAAGTGCTTTGCCATTGCCTTCTTCTGTGTGTATGGAGTAATGAGTAATTGTTGGGATGCCACGGAGAAAAACTCCGTGTTGCCTAGCCCACGGCCTTGCCCAACACAAGTTATAAATTCAGGCACCGCCGGGAATCGAACCCGAGACCCCAGGATTACAAGGCCAGCGTTCTAACCGCTAGACCACCGTAGCGAACGTATTGTTTACATGTTAATAATTACAAATATGACGACGATATTGTGAGTCTTTGAGGTTATAACTGACAATTTTAATGTAGTCTGAATCTATATTAAAGGAATTACTCACAAATGAACTCCTAATGGTTTAAATACTAATTCATATTTGCTGTTTAAACATCTGAAAAAAGTAGTCTTCATAACTTTTCATATGGTCTTGTCAGAACATGAAATATCGTGCTGAGCGAGAGACTTCAAATATACACCAACTGAAAATAATGCAACATATTTTTACTGGTGTCATATCTCCACACCTGATTTAGGCCTAATTGTTATGCTGCCTTATCGCATGTCCTCTCGAAGTAGGCAATGAAATATCCTCGTTCTTCTGTACTGATACTAGCGATTAATAAGGTAAAACCGAAGAATTCATAGTAAGACTTGGTCCAGTACACGAGATGGCGCTGTATAGGATTTTTACATATCACGTGACACCAACAAAATATCCGCCAACCTTCAGCCAGAATAATTATCTTCCGGTCATTAGTGACGAAGCTACACAATGGGCTAGACGACACACAGGCGTTTCGGTATCGAACTGATTCTACTGAACTCGGTTAAGAACGTGTCAGTAAATTCGGTTCACACTCTCACGCCCCACTGAAGAAGTCACACAAATTGACAGTGGAACCACGGTTACAATTTCCGTGATTTTATAAACATTATTCAACGTTAAAAACAACGTACTTGATAAAACTCTGTAATGAGGGTCTTCATTTATTTAAATTATTCGTATCATGTTGTTAGGGTCGTAAATCTGATATTTGAGGTTCGATACTTGGGGAAATGAGAAATGCATACAACATTTTGGCTGGAAAACA